CATGGGGACCGCTAGCCGCGCCCTCGAGCTTACCGAGGCAATACACACGAGTTGCCCCACACACATATCTACGACTTGGACGCGTGAGGAAACTGAGATTAGTCCTGAGGATGATCCGTTTTCCGATAGGCGGTAAGGTCCCGAGACCAGAAGCGTATTCTTAGCAATCGGTTGTAGATAGAAGCAGGAGCGGTATTCATTCGGCTTTCTGCAGAGTAGTGCAACACCCGCCACACCTCGCCCTCGAACTTACCGAGGCAATACACACGAGTTGCCCCACACACATCTCTACGACTTGGACGCGTGAGGAAACAGATCGGAGCCACAGATACCACAGTGGGAAATCTTGATTTCCACGTCCTCCGGGCCAAGAGGGCGCGATTGGTACTGCCAAGGCTTCACTTCTGCTTTGGCATCGAAAGCTGCGTAGGCGTTGACGGTTCTCGGAGATGAGGACATGGCTGTTTTAAGCAGGCTGCTTGAGACTGTTGCTTTAAAAGGCAAATTTAGGAATGAGATTGTTGGGGTTGGCAATGAAGCAGCAGCACGACTGTAGATGTAAGCGAATGCCATCGTCAGCTAAATGATTATGGGGAGTTAGACTGCTGTTCCCTGTCCGCATAATCTCGAACTCAATAAGGAACCTCTTTCAGACAGCCCTCTTTGTCGTGATATTATGTCAGCTGCTCAAAACGTTTGAGCTCTGATTGGTCAAGAAAGTATCCCCACCTAAGCTCACACAAGCCATCCCTTTAATATGAAATGTTTCATCCTGTCATAGTATGACATGGTATCCGAGACAGTGATAGCCTCTAGCTAAGGAGGTTGGTGTGGACCGATCTTTGGTAGTCAAATAAAGAGTCAATGGTCACTTACAGAGGCTCAGTTATAGAGGTGTGACTGTATGCCTTTTTGATGTAGAGCGTTTACTATGGGAGCTGAGCATGTATATGTAATTGTCGATCGTTTAAATATGGGGAATCACTGTCCATTTTTTGAAAACTATCGGCTCCATTTACAAGCTTACAGCAGCATCTAAAAATAAAGAGACCAGTATTTTCTTTGGATTTGATTCGATTTTTCAAACATCTCAAATTTGTGATGACACCACTATAAGCGCGGACCTTGCTGTCGGTTTAACCTGCGAGGCAATCAGGATTTTCTGGGCGTTGTCCCACAATTATGCTGCTATAGTGGAGAAGAGTGCGGAAAGGTACCTACATTTTTTAGTCAATATCCGTAAACTTCCCAGTAAAAGTGCCGTCAAATGTGGCCGCTCTGCTTCTGCTTCATTCCCGTTTTACCACCGCGGCCACAAGTCGACTTTCTCAAGCCTTATTCGACATGAAGAGTGCTTTGGTAGCGCTGCTCTCTCTGGTCAGCCTTCTTGCCGTCAGCGCTAGGCTTGATGTGGCCGATATGTCCCCTGCCACGAAGACTGACTCGAGCGCATTGGCGATGGCCCCAGCGGAAATCCCCACGGATACATCCGAAAACCCCGACGCCAGTCTGACGAAGATGAACGCAACTGTCTCGGGGAACAACTTGCTGGTCACTCGCAGCAACATCATCGTCGTTGGCGACCAAGCCAAAAAGGGGATGGTAGATTTCATCAAGAATTTGGTGATGAAAGGCTCCAGTCCGCAAGACGACGATGCGCTGAGTACACAAATTATAACTGTTCTGGGTGGTGGCAATAGCACCGCGACCAACTCGGATCTCGCCACGAAGATAGCACCGACAATTAAGTCCGCTTTCCAGAGCCGCGAGAAGCCTGCACAGCTTCGCCAGATTATCGTGAAGCTGACTGAGATGTCCCCGAAGTTTGGCATGACCGAAGTGGGCGACCACGAAGGCTAATTAGCACCTCCAACCACGCATTTCCTTACACCTGCGTAATCTTATAAGACTTACTGCTGACTCACCTGTGGAGGATAACGGTGACCCGAAAACGCTGAAGGTGTCGCGTCTATACACGTTTCTATTTCTAAACACTTCAACATGAACGATTCAAAGACAGCTCTTTTTTTACTAGTACATGGACAATAATAGTATTGTCACAATACTGAGTGCTGTGCTGACTACCGGGGTACAGTCTATTAATACAGTAGTTTCCTTGCTGCTATTAAAAAGTACAGTCGTACCCTGCACTGCACTCTGCTACACAGCAAGAATACATTCCTCTACAGTACCGGTAAATAAATGTCTGAAATGTCTATGGAGGACGGATCTCGCTTCATCACCGTGGTTGCGTCCCGCCATCCGGTCTTGCCATTTTTTGGAAGTCATGCCTACATCTTATCCGGCTGAGGTATAATTGTTCTTTGCACTGCTCGCACTTACGAGTTAGTATAACTTACAAAGGACGTAATAGTCATACTGTTCGAGTCTTGGCTGGGGCTGCTCGCAGTAGAAAGCTCATCTTCAAG